TTAATTAACTTGTGGGACTGCTCTGATGATTATAGTGAATTTCGTTGCAATACCATTTTCTAAAATTACTACTTTGACCTGATCTATGTTAACAATATCTAATAGTAATCAATTTTTAGCACAATAATCTTTTGGGTCACCTGCACTGAAATACATCATATTATCCGCGGACTCGTACCACAATAATAATAAAATATATGGGTTGTGGAAAATGTGGGTACAAATATTCAACGGTGTGCTGTTTGACAGATGGAAAAAAATTACGAGGTCCAGATCGTCTTCGATGCCTTAGCCTGAGAGCTTCTTCTGCCTTTATGTGACTTCCTTGGCCACTAAAAAGCAGTCACGTAGGTTTTGGGCATTACGCGGTCAACTCAACCTCTCACCTCTCCCGAGTCCCGACCGAGTTTCATTCAATCTGTCCCAGGGCGTGTGAAAACTTTAGAGTTTTGGGTCCCAATTCTTAATGTTGACGAAAACACGAGTCTACTTCTTTGAAGACTAAACTTCTGACATTCCCGGTTCTATATTTAATTTCTGCTCTCTAGCTTCCATGAAATTTGAAATGAAAGTGTTTCACATTTACTGTACCTTTTGAGTGTTATATTAATATGTTCTCTTCCCTTCCTCGAAAATGACCAAGAAGGGGAAATCCTACAAACCGATCCCCAACTCCTGCTGTTGATATTAGGGCCAGTTAGGCACCGGCTACGGCTTCGGCTTCGGCTTCTCATCAGGTCAGGAACTTGAGCTCTCTTTTATTTTCCTCGTGTCTTGGATGTACTTAGTCCTTTGATGATGTTCTGTTTCATACAACTTTTTTGCTCAAATTAGTTCATTATAACTTGAACAACCAAAACTTTTACTTGTGATTTCAAAATCTTCCAGTAAATAATAGGTATAAACTGCATGGTCGATAATTCATCGACAATAATCAACAGCTAGGGAGGGCAAAATTCATTGCATGATACCCGGAGAAAGTATTGTAGCAAATCATTTTGTCAAGTGGCGATAATGGTGCTTTAGGGAGGCTGGCTGAAAAAATTTTGACCGATATCATGCTGCTACCTGCTAGAATTTTATCCAATCCCTCTCAATCCTATGTTCTCAAAAATTAATTTTTTTCTGTCCCTTCATATGGAAATCTGCCAGCTCCACCCTCCACAAAGAAGAAATAACTCGGAAAATTGCGAAATTTCTACTGGGGTGGAAGACCTTCATGTATCCAAATTTTTGTTCAACAGCTTCATATTCTAACCTGTCCTTGATTCAGTGGATTATAGGTCAGGATGCCAGTGGAGAAGCCACTAGTTGTTGATTAAATGGACTGAAAGGAAATCCATAAAACTTGGAATCAAATTCGAAAGTATCGGCAGTTTCCAATGGATTCAATGGATTTCAATATTGGAATTGAGGATGTAGGGGTGGCAGTACTGCAGGAATTGTGGAACAAGGTAGCATTTCAAGCAACGGAGCTCGTTAGTGAAACAAGGGATGTGGTTCTTGAAAAGGATAGCTTTCGAGAATTCTGTAGAAGCATCTCAGAGCTAAGCACCCTCCTTCGGGCTGTGGATGCCAAAAGAGTTGAATCCGCAATGGGTTTAGAATCTACAAAAACTGCATTGGAGACCTTGAATTCTCAGCTAAGAGAAGCCACCAAGATCATCAAAGGCTACAAATCTGGTAGCTGTCTCCGGCTTTTACTTAACTCACGCTCAATGCTTATGCAGATGCAAAACTTGTCCAAAGAGATTGCCGCAACTATTTCCTCATTCCAGCTGGTCAACCTTGATATGTCACTGAACCTGAAAACCATGATCAACCAGATCATCAACAATCTGAGGTCAATGGAATTCCGATCAACAGCTGCAACAGAAACAATTGCTTTTGAGATTGAAAAATCAATATCTCAGAATAGCCGGAACCAAGAAAATGCCATAAATCTTCTCGAAAAGATTGCAGAAGTTGTTGGTGCAAGAGCAAATGCATCCCTAGTGCAAAATGAGCTGGCTCTTCTGAAGCGCGAAAAGGAGGAGATGGAAGATCAAAAGAAGCAGGCAGAGGCACTTCAATTAGCTCAATTGATACAGTTGCTGTACAGCACAGAAATTGTTACAAGGCCACAAAATGAGGAGATTGCTCTGTACCACCAGCAATACCCAATCACCTCATTCATATGCCCACTCTGCAATGAGATGATGGCAGACCCTGTCACAATTTTCTGCGGCCACAGCTTTGAGAGAGAGGCAATTGAGGACCGTTTCAACAGAGGAGAGAGGAATTGTCCCACCTGTGGAGAGCAGCTTTCGTCTTTGGAGCTTACTCCAAATGTTAACCTTCGGCGCTCTATAGATGAGTGGAAGCAAAGAGACATGGACTTAAAATTTCAAGCTGCAGTCTCAGGAATCAATAACAATGACCATTCTCGACAAAATAAGGCCTTAGAGGACATGAAATTTCTGATAGAGATTCCCTGTTATGCAGTCAAAGTTGCAGAGGGAGGACTCGTCCCAAAGTTAGTGGAATTCTTAAAGTACAAGAGACTGAGCACCTCGGCAACTTTGAAATGTCTTTACTACCTGGCTATGCACTGTGATAATCACAAGGTAAGCAAAACTTCAATATTGACTATCGTTTGTTCCAACTTTTACCTGTTGTGTATCTGTAAATTCCTGTTGTGTGGAATTGTAGGAAGCCATGGTAGAAGCAGGTGTGGTTCGCTGCATTGTGAAGCTGATCTACAGAGGTGAAAAAAGACCAGATGCTATTGCAGTTTTGTTGGAGCTGTCCAAAACAGAAACTCTTACAGAGAAAATAGGGAAAACAAAAGATTGCATTCCTCTTTTGGTTTCTTTGCTCCATAATGACAACCCAGTTGTCTCACAGAAAGCCCAGAGCACTTTGCAGAATCTTTCTTCCAACACCTCCTTCGTAATCAAGATGGCCGAAGCTGGACATTTTCAACCATTTGTTGCTCGTTTCAACCAAGGTTTTGCCTCTTTTTCTTTTTTTAAAGAGACATGACCGGCATGATACCTTTCTACCACTTTTCCATGAACCACTTAACTAATATCTCCATGCAGGACCACAAGAAAGCAGGGCCGGGATGGCTGCCGATCTGATAAAGATGCCACTTAAAGAAAATAACATTAAGGACTTGGAAGATGGAGAATTTATACAAAGTCTAATACAGATGCTCTCTTCAAACTCTCCAGCATACAAATCTGCTTGCCTCAAATGCATTAAGAAGCTAATGGTATACCCTCAGATTGTAAAGCAGCTTCTATCAGACTCTGTGATGATACCACTTCTGCTAGGCCTCATCTCATTTGTAAGGTCTGATTCACACTTGAAACAAGTAGCTGGTGAGATCCTTGCTCTATTGGTTGGAGCCTGTCAGCATCCTGAATTCGAGATGCATCAGAACCTGCAGGAGCTGCAATCAGAACACAATGTGAGTCTCTTTCTCCAGTTGGTTGGCAATTCTGATCCTGAAACTAAGATTCAGCTCTTGCACCTTCTGGTTGAACTTAGCTCTAAATCTCAGGCAGCTCAAAATGTAATTCGATCGGATAGGGATGCAATAGTTCACCTATTCGCTTTACTGAATGATGATCAGCATGAGGTGAAAAGATGGGTACTGAAACTCATCAGTTGTATCTCTGATAATCATCCTGATGGAGTTCCGCTCCCATCATCTCCTTGGAAAGAAACTGCCATCAACACTTTAGTAGCCATTCTCACTTGTTCACTGGATATTGAAGAAAGGTCCATTGCTGCTGCAATCATCAGCCAGCTTCCCAAGGATGATATCATTATTGACGAAATACTGAAGAAATCAGAAGCATTAAAAGCCATTCGTGAGGTAATTTGCACAGAAGATGAATGTGAGGGAATCCGAGCATCTGCTAATGTAGACATGTCTCTTCTGGAGAATACTCTAGCAGCACTTTTACGTTTCACAGAGCCCACCAAACCTCACCTTCAAAGACAAGTGGGCAAGCTTGGAGTGTATCCATCACTAGTTCGAGTCCTCTCCAGTGGTAGCTCACTTGCCAAGAAGCGAACAGCCATTGCACTTGCCCATCTATCCCAATCAACCAGATTCTCAATGCCCGATGCAACCCTCATGGCAAATGAACCCAAGAACTCCATGCCATTGCTACATTTTATGAACCTGTTACCCAACATGTCCTGGTGCTGCTCAACCTCAACAGTGAACGATAGTCTATGTGCTATTCATGGTGCTGCTTGTTCACCAAGAGACACCTTCTGCCTTGTCAAGGCAGATGCAGTGAAGCCACTTGTTAGAACACTGAGCGAGACAGAGGGTGGTGTGGCAGAGGCTGCTCTAACAGCACTGGAAACATTGCTAACAGACAACAACACACTATCCCATGCAACTGCTGCTATTGTGGACAACGAGGGAGTGGTGGCCATTGTACAAGTTCTAGAGAAGGGAAGCTTCTCTGCCAAAAGCAAAGCCCTCGACCTCTTCCAGAAAATCATAAAGCACACACAGATCAGTGAACCATTATTTCAAAAGTCCGAGAGGATCCTGATCCAGCTTCTCCATGAAGATGCACTTAAGAAGAAAGTAGCTCTGGTGCTTAGGCAGATGAGCATCATTCCAGAGCAATCTTCCTATTTCTGAATTGGCTTCTTCTTTTAGACAAGAGACAGAAACAGAAACATCAAGTAAACAAAACTAGGAGACACAGAGAGAGACTAAAGTGATCCGTTGGGACACTAGACACTTGACAGTTCGGAGAAAAACAGAAGTTAAAGAGTCCAAAACACACAGAATCAGCCAATTCGTTCTACCTGCTTTCAACTAGGTTTGATATAAATGAGATGGAGCTGTACTGACTTGTCAGCCATTTGATGCTTCAAAATTCAATTTCATACCTACTCATAATTTAATGTAAATACTCCAGAAAACCCCAAACGAGAAAGAGCAGAGGGGCTTGAAAACATTGTACAGAGAACACAAGCAGACTTTAGTTGTCGTCAAACTGAATAGAAAATTTTATAACCATTGCTTGGTTTGGTGTGAGAAGCATCTTGGAATGGAATAATGATTCTGTTTCCAGATATCCTCTCTGGCGGCCATGAGATGATAGACAAAACACTAATCACTCTTTAGTCCGTGAACAAGAACAACCATATATATCTGGTCATGAATTATCGATTTCTGCTGTTGTATCATGCATGATCTCAATAATCTCGGAACTTAAATAATGATTATGCTGTTCAGTGTACACAAACCAAAACCCAGCAATTTTCATGTATAAATTAGGATTTGATATTTATCGATATATGAATTTGGTACTTCTTGAGGCCATATATACACGCATTAATTAAACCTATAACAACTGCACTTCTTGATACCAATGTCATTTCATCCCTACTTTATATAAATTGGTTTTAGTTTTTCCACTCATAAATAAGCTTTTAAATTCAGAAAAAGGTCACAGACTATATATAAATATCACTACTAGTTGCCTGTCAAATCCAAAACAGGGAACATCGCTGCTGATGAACTAAATACCATGTGTTTTCTGTTCGCATATAGAAGCGAGGGTAAGGACTGACGAGAATGATGCGTCATGCAAAGGGTAATTTTTTATGCCCAAGAAAGCAGCTGCATGTCTATTGAATTTAGTATTAACTAGCTCAATACCCGTAGCTCAATACCCGCAGCAAAAGTTTATATATCCATGTTTTAATATTTTAAATAATTTTAAAATATAAATATAATAAAAATTAATTAACACTCATTGTAAAAAATTTGTTTAATTTAATATATATATATATATAATTGAATTTAAATATTTCTTAGGAATATTTTTTATTTTGATAGATAAAAAATATATACAATTAATTATTTATTTTTAAAAAATCCAATTAAAAGGAGGTGTTCAATCAATTTATATTAGAAGAATATTTAATTTTAGTTCATGAATATTTCTAAAAATAGAAAAAGTAACCATTGATGATGGGAAAAAGTTCTTTTGATTAAATAATAATTAATGAAAAAATCCCAGCCCAAAAAAATAAAAAAAAATATATATATATATATAATAAGGACCTTTTGGTAATATTAATTAAAATTAGGATCTGTTTTATATAAAATAATAACTTCGAGGATCAAAGTGTAAAATCCTAATACATTAATAAAAAATTACTTATTTTTCAGAAAAACGACGTCATTTTGAGTCTAAAAAGACACAAGAAAAACATTGTTTTGATTTCACTATAATAAGAGTTTAATTACAATGAAACCTCATTTCTTTTAAGTATATGTTATAATCGAAAGCACAGTCACCAACATAGGCTTTTGCCCTCGTCAATTGCTCTCGCGATGCCACAACTACTCCCTGGTCATGAGTGGGTGATGATTGGGTTTACTATTTTTATATTTAGTTTTACGAAACGATTTCAATTGGGGATGTAGCTCAAATGGTAGAGCGCTCGCTTTGCATGCGAGAGGTACAGGGTTCGATCCCCTGCATCTCCACTTTTTTTTTATCATCCTACCCTCCGGATTTAATATTCTCACTTCTGAAATGGGCAAATTCTCTTATTTCATGCTCAAACTTTTGAGCATTTTAGGCATCACTTCTGAAACTCTATCCTCCAATTTCTTGGTAAATCTGTTGAAAAGTTCACAATATTAGCTTGGATGCATCATGTGTCATTCTCAAGCCCCAGGACCTTGGTCAGGTTGAAGCTATAAAAAAATCTTCAACCTGGACGATAATAGCATCAAGATTTATGATCTCAAATAATATTGTTATATACGCGTATTGTTAATTTAGGATGCATAAAGAACAAAAATGACAATGAAGACCATAAACAACCCATACCTAATTAGTGAAAAAAAAAAGAGATCTTGCTCACATGGTGGCATGTGATAGGGATGGGATGATAGTATTATAAAATTTTCTCTGTTCTATGTTTTTCTCTTTTACATTTCTTTAAAGGCCAAGTTATACGTGGGATAGGGATATAGCTCACAGTACTATCTGGCTGTTTGAATCCATCCACACTACATCAATCAATTAAAAAACATGGGATTATTAAATTAATTAACCAATAAAATTGTTTTAATCCACGGTATATATATATATATTCGAAAATGTGATTGCATTTTTTCTCATAATCAGGTTTACAGTTCTCAAAAAATATTACCTGGAGCTGAACACAGGGTCATAATTCTTTTTTGCAAAATTAATTAATGTGATGGAACACTAAGGTAAAAAGAAAAAAGAAATCACCAAAAATATGACTTGATATATATTTGTTTGCATATGACCCACTGCATTGGCACTAACCAGAAAAGTAGGCTTTAGTGAGGAAAATGCGCTGTTGCGAGCTAAGGAACCCTACTGTCCTTCTCTATAAAGCTGGTACGTAGCAAAATCATAAGTGATAGTGGTCCATGTATGAGGTTTTGTATGGACATATATGCTCCATTTAGATCTCTCTACATCGTTAATTATATTTTCAGTACATTCAGATCTGAGAAGAATTGGAGCTGCATGGTGGTTTTTTGCAAGCCCGGGTCATACTATTCCACAGCTTTCTTGAACTTCTTCATTTGTCCTGCTTAAGTTTTCATGTACAGCACCTAGGAAGTTCGAGAAAGCTGTGGGAAAAAATGGCAGTTCAGGGTTTTTCTGTGTGCCTCTTTTGGTGTTGTCATTGACAAGAATCAAGATCTCTTTTCTGTCATGGGGTTAATCCAAGAAGCTTTGATCATCGTTCTATCTTGCATGCATATGGATTATGGTAATTAATTCTCTTGTAATTCACACCCTTTTTTTGCTTATAGTTTTTTCATTCGTGGGGTAATCCATAAGAATTCTTGCATTTGTTTGAGAGAGTATGGTTTTTGGTACTGGTTAGGACCTGGTTTTTCCAATTCCATTTTTTAGCTGTGAATGACAATTTGACAAGGGCTTAACAAAATATTGTCAAGCCACATATAGCCTACATATTGTTAATTTTGCTGGAATTTTTACTACGTAGTCTGTTGAATTTTTAATAACAATTAACATAAATTCTGATAATTAATTGAATGAAAATTGGGAAAAATACAAAGTTAAGTAAAAAAGAAAAGACTTACATTATGGTTTGGAGGCCATGGTGCTCCGAAGTCTTGAAAAATCAAATCTAACCACTTGACTTTCAATATTGGCCTTCTAACGTTTTTGAAAATTCAACATTTTCTCTAAACAATTGCTCATAAAAAAATTACGATAATATCTCAAGATCATCACATTTATATATTTTCTCTATTATATAGCGTTTAAGTTTCACTTATATCCTTAAATATCTCAATATTGTATTTTTCACAACGGCTAAACTATTTTATTATAAATTTTAGGAGAAACCTTAATTTAATTAGTCACAAACCTATATATCCAATCTCAATTCAGTGTCAAATCTATAAATTTTATCAATTAGATTCTAAATGTTTCAAAAAATTTCAATCGGATCTTTTTGTTAACATTCATCAATTTTTTTTTATCATTTTTTCTAAATTGATGTTATTTTAGTGTATAAACATGCATATTTGACTGAAATATTGATGTTTATTAACTTTTCCATCAATTTTTTTAAAACTAACGCTAATTTAGTTACAAAACATGCAAATTAGACTTAAATTATTGAAAGAAATTAACAAAAGGATATATTTAAGAAACATAGGAAACATTTAAAACTTATTGATAAATTTTATAGGTTTTGGATGTAAATGAAAATGAATATATAAGTTGGGACTAAATTGAGGTTTCCCTTAATTTTTTTATCTATATATTTCATCATTTTAACTGTACCTGGAGTAATGATTGTTCTTCCTGCAATATTTGGTTTTGCATTTAATATGGCATGATCTCCTACATTTCCGTGAAAAAGGTTAAAGTCTGTCACTTTCTGTCGTCATCTTAATCACTCTCTCTCCGTTTGACATCATTTTCTTCTTCTTTTTTTTTTCCCTAGTATACCCACACCAGTGACATAAATTCAAATGCAAAATATTGGGAAGGGTACTAGGGATATTAAAAACTTGAGATTTGGACATAGAGGGTACGGGCTGGGATTTAGGGAAGGAACATATTTGCAAAAAAAGAAAAAGAAAAAAGTTTTCAGCAACTTTCTGCACTTAATTGTACTAGTATCTTGTCACGTGCATTGTTAACTATATATATTTTCTAAATTCGAATAAGTTTTTTGGGATTATTTCTGAGTGAATAAATTTGAACCTATTTTGATAATTATAATTAAATTAATTCTTTTAATTTTTTACCATATAAAATAATTTTAACTAGACTTAAGTAAAAATTAGGACCATAATTTTAATTGTGTCTCCAAATTTAATAATTAATAGTTAGGATGGATATATATAACTTTTAGAAATAATAATCACTAAAAAATTGTCACTTAACATTATATTGTTGTGAATTTCTTTTTTCTTATTTTAAACAGTTCTCTTCAATTATATGTGAAGTGAACGTAACCTAACAATACATAAAAGAATAAAAATTTTATAGATTTTTTTAAAAATAAACCTTGCATATTTTTAATATCATCAATGTTTGATCAAATTAATGAGTAAAAAATATCATATGAAATTAACAAAAATCAACCAGATATTAGATTTAATAATTTGAAGAATTTTCATGTCATTTAATTATTTTTAGATTTTAGTACTTCGTGTTTTTATTGGCTAGTTTTAAGTCCTTTTATGGGTTTGATAGTCAAATAAAGTACCAATATATTATTTTATAGTTTAGAAGTGATTTAAGTAGCTTATTTTATGTTAGGGTTTTATGTTGTGTATACATAAAAATTTTTTTAAAAAATTAACCTATATTTTTAGATTTATTATAAAAATAGCCTATTTTATAGGAATTAATAAATTTTTCTTAAGAATTTTACCAATATTGGTTTTTTTTTTTTTTTTGTAATTAGATATGGGGTTGGATTTACTTATTACTATTAGCACATAGTGTACTATAATATTAGCATTATACTGTATTACGGGTATTTAGGTGTACTTAAGTAAAAATTAGGTACATAAATTTAATTATGTTTTAAAAAATAATTAATATGTAGGATAAATATTACATATAACTCTTAAAATTAACATCAGTAAAAAAAAATTCATCGAACATTATATTATTATGAAACTTTTTTATTTTATATAGTTCTTTTCAAATATATGTGAAGTGAATATAAATTAAGAATACAGACATGGATCAAATTTTTATAGACTTTTTCAAAATAATTGTTGCCTTTTTTATTTTATCTATATATGTTTGTTCAAATGAGTAAAATATAAATACTGCCATAATAAAAAATAACCTATAAAAAATTAATCAATGATTAAACTTAATGATTTGATGAATTCCTTCTAATCTTTTTCGTCTTAAATTTTATTTTTTTTATTTTTTTATTTTTTGGTTTGGTTTTTTGTCTTGATCTCGTTTTTCTGTTAACTTTTTTACTAATGATTAGACTCACATGATTGTGACGTGCATCAACTCGTTTTTTTTCTTATCTTAATCCTGGTCCCTTGATTCTTTTTTTTTTTTTTTTGTCACGATCTTATTTTTTGATGTCATTTAATTATTTCTGAATTTTAAGATATTATTATTTTTATTGGCTTGTTTTTAAGTCTTTTTAGGGCTTTGATAGTAAAGATAAAATATCAATAAATTATTATATAAATTAGAAGTGATTTAAGAAGTTTATTTTATGTTATTTAGGGTTTTATGCAATGTATAAATGAAAAATTAAAAAAAAACATATATTTCAGGGTTTCATTATAAAACATATCCCATTTTTTTCTAGGATTTAATAATTTTTTTAAGAATTTTACTAACATTGGTGGTTTTTTTTTTTAATTAGAGAAAGAGGTTGAATTTACTTATTAGTATAGGTAGTATACTATATATAATATTAGCATTGTATTAAGACTATAATAGTTGATCAAAGTTTTTATGAAGTTCTTATAGAGTTCTTGTTTTTATATATAGTTATGGATAATAGAATTTCTAAAAGAAAAATACTTGCATCAACCTCGTGTCTGTAATATTATTGGTAAACAACAGTAGAACATATTTTATTTAAGCATACAAGCGTTATAGACTTGTTTTTATTAAATCTCTTTTCTTTTTTACTCCCAAAAAAAGATGTCAGTATTTTTTACCTTCTCTGCAAGAGAGTCAATTACTGATCATAAATTATTTAATTTTGCATATATAACCAATTTTTGATCAAATTGAGAAAGTAAGGGTATTATTGGTGCATTCAAATAAGCAGAAAGATGCTGAGGAATGTAAAATATGGAGATAAAAAAATAAGGTTTGGAAGTAAATGACGAAGCATTCTATATTGAGCATATAATCAATCCATTTATACACTCATTCTTACTATATAAAAAAAATCTCAATTTACTTTGAATTGAGATTTTGATTCAGGTGACCTACCAATTTAATTTGACTGAACCTTTTTATTTATGGATCCATGCACACCTTATTATTCTAAAAGTAATTAATTAGTCATAGAATAGTTATAAGATCCATGGAATAGATTATGTAGGTTTGATTATTGTATATGAATTATAAATAGAGATGACAATAGATTGAATATAAAACGGATACTCGTTTTACTTCGTTTAATAAATAATCATTAAGAATATTTAATGGATATTGAAGTGGATTAAGTAGGTAAAATATATATATATATATATATATATATATATATATATATATATATATATATATAATTTTAGAATATGAATACTCACTCTTTACTTTATTAATATCTATTAATTTATTAAGATTTTGAATTAATGAGTCAGTTATCCTTCCATTATCATTCCTAATTATAAAAGTTCCAAAATTAAATGATTTGTGTGCACGATTTGGAAAAAATAAAAATAAAATAAAATAAAAAGAGACTGGGTGAATATATCAGATGGTGAATTCTCATAAATTTCACAATTCCGACTGTGGAAGTCAACCTTTGACCAATCCAAAAAGAGAGACAAAATCTATGCGAATGTTGGCCCTAAAATAACCTCTGGCCGAAGAGGAAAGAGAAGGAAAAAAAAAAAAAAAAGTGTGCGTGGGCTTTGTTATTTTAGTGGGTAACAAAAATAAGAAGAATGGACCTCAGAGTCCCCACAATATCTTTACCCCTGGTCCAATCTTCTTGTCGCGTTGGGTTGGAAGCCCAATTTCTCTACTCTCTCCCTTCTACACGAAGCGCACGGTCAAAAATATCATCACCATGCAAGAACCAGAGACTGGCAACTCCGCTCCGCCTTACAGCCACGTTCCGTCCTCTACTGACACTATGTGCGAAATTCAATCCCAAATTCTCCACACCCATGTCAACAAGATTGGCTTTGAATTAAGTGTGTACCCTGCCGAAGCTCTTACTGACGTGTGCATGAAACTTAAATATCTTAAACAATGCTCTTAAACTGTTTGACGAAATGCCTGACCGAAACTTAATTCGGCCATATTTGGGTTCTAGCAAGAGGGTAATGTCGCGAGGTCTTTTAAATGCTTAGAGAAGTGGGATTCGGTAGGTTTAGACCCGATTCAGTTACCATAGCTCGCTTGATGCCTACTTGTGGTTATGCTGAATTGCTGACCTTTGTACGCAAATGCATTCCTAGGTATTAAAATTGGGTGTATATATGTTGGACCATCGTTGGTTATATTGTCTTGTAATTGTGGAGGGGTAATTTTAGCTAAAAATAAATTTGTGGAGATGCCTAATAAGAGTGTCATGAGCTATAATTCATTTGTTTCAGGGCTTTTGCAAAATGGGCTACCATGTGAAATCTTGACAGCGTTTTAGGAGATGCAGGCATGTTCAAGCCAAAAACCCAACCAGTTGCTTGATTTCTGTTTTTTCTGCTCGTCCTAATCATTTGTTTCTTCATGATGAAAATCGAGGTGGGTTATGATGCTATACTGGGAAATGCGCTTAGGGATATTGTGTGTTCGGTGAACTGAACGCCAATAGGAGATTGATAATGTGGAACTCGATGATTGCTGGGATCATGTTTAATGGTCAGTGTTACCATGCTGTCTAGCTGTTCGAAATTTTAGAGCCTGAAGGACTGGGACCTGACTCGGCAGCATGGAATTCGATGATTAGTGGGGATGCAAAGTTTGGGAAGAAGATTGAAGCTTTTAACTTCTTCAAGAAATTGCAGTGTTTTCAGATTGCCCCAGGTCTAAAGGCCATTACTGGTGTATTACAAGTTTGTGCATCGATATCTGCTCTCCAATCTGGAAGATTCATGGGGAAGCAATTAGAATTGATGTTCATACGAATTTATGGCTACCGCACGCATTGACACGTACATGAAATTTTGATCAGTTTGTCTTAAGAACTTGTACCCGAAAGAGAAGCATTTTGGAATGCAATGATATATTTGTCTGGGAGAAACAGAGAGAACGATTCTGCATTTGAAGGTTTTGACCAAAGGTAATCATTTCAAACGATGATGGTTTATATATATATATATATATATATATATATATATATGGAAACATCTGATACTGCATGGCTTGTTAAAAATATATTAAACAAAATTTTGTTTCTTTTGTGAGTAAAATAATGTTTCATGTTTTGTCGTGAATGATTTTATTTTATCAGATGGCTATTAACCTGGTAGAGAGAAAGTATTTGCAGCAAATAACAATAATGTTTGGGATCAGATTATTATATACCATTCTTCTGCAAGTCAATTGTGACCATTTCACTTGTGTTGGTGATTAATGGGATCTACAAACCATTTGCGATGAATCATGTGATCATCAGGGTATTATTTTTATCTGAAGAAATTTCTTATACCGTTTAAACCTATTTCTTCTTGTTAGATAAATTGGAAGTGTATTTGGCTTTTGGTTTTCTCAAAAAATTTGGAACCAACAATCGAATAAATTGGATGAAGTAGTTAGTATTGGATTATCCATTAATTACTAATTAGAGGACGGCCATGCTAGTAAGGCGGAAGGATTCAAAGTTTGTAACTGCCGTTTGAGCTATTAATGGACGATGGCCCTCTACAATTTAGAAAAAATGGGACACTCACCACAGAGCAGAAATCAATTTTCAGATATCCTCTCCTACAAAATGTGCATGCAAGCAACGTGTCACCTCTCAATCACGAGAGATTCTCAGGTTTCAAACCTATTCTGTCTGCTCTTTATATAAAGCAAGGAAATGCGATCAATATCCATTAACCGCATTTATCAACAAAAACCAAGCTAGTTTATTCTTCATTCTTTCTTGATTGGAAATAATGGCTTTCAGCGCAGCTGTAAGTTTTTGTTTATTGTTTCTTTTTTGTTATGGATTGAGAAACATGGGGAGGTAATTATTTTCTGGTATTTATGTTTATCTTTTGGGCAGCAGAGCAAATGGAGAGCAGTGCTATCCCAATTCGGACACAACCGACCATTTGCATCCTCCACCACTCCGAAGTTTGCTACAATGTCCCACAATGCTGCTCATCATGTACCTTACAACAGGTTTTATTAAAAATTAAATCATTGATATTCTTAGCTGTAGCCCATTATATTCATTAATAATACTAGAATACATATATATTAGCATCATTACAGACGAAGAGAGTCAGGATATGAGTATTGATGAACGCTAACAATTTCAGGTACGCAATAACAGGGGAGTTTGGACCAATCTATGTGCTGGCAGGAATGTTGAGTGTAGCAGTTGCGATGGGTTGCCACACCATGAAGCAGCAACTAGTGCATAGCCCAGGAGTTAGTATAAACAAGAAAAGGAGAGAATCCATTGCTGAGGTGGACGAACCTGACATGGTAGTTGCTGATGCTAATAAGTTCCTCGGAAAATCATTTCTCAGAAAGGTCGCTCACGTTCAGGAACATACACAAACTCTGCCTGATCCTTCCCGCGCTAATCCCTTCACCAAGTACCTATATTTTTTCCTATTGCTTTCATGTATCTCATTCATTTCAGTCAATTTCATGTCTGAATGAATTGTGCATCACATTGCATATCCCGAATTCAGGAATTAATCATCACACATGTTCTGCTGTGGTAATATATATGATTAAGCCTAGCACAATAAACGCAAATGATCAATTCTTTTCTCTTGATTGAAATAAAACACATAATGGTGCTTGATATCATTTTGCATCAAGCCCTTATTCATGACGCTAATGGAGAGTGATCATGCATTGCAGGCCTCAAGATGCAGAGACATTGAAAACAGTCGGGGTCAATCCTCGCCACCACTGATTAAACAATCACGGGCCTCAACCATCCCTGCTGATTCTTATCTATCAAATGCCATCTAATGTTTTCTTTGCCCATGTGTTTATTAGTCCAATTACCATGGTGTCATATTGTAAATAGCAATTCGTACTATTCTTGCCGTCATTTCGTCTTTTTTTTTCTTTTTTTTTTCGCAAAAAGTCATACTAGCCCTTCCTTACTCAGGTCAGGACAGAGGCCCCCATCTTGTAATAGGTTTGTTGATTATTAGTTCTGCGAATAATAAAGACACCTCTGTGACCAATTTTGTGGTATTCCGGCCCCTCTTTTCCAATTAGCGAGCAAACAGCATGGAGTTCACAATGAGGATGTGAAATACACTATTTGATTTGTGAGTCAACATTGTGGCCAATAGAAACATGTTGACCAGAAAATGGTGAGCGTGGTGATCTGAAATGTGGCAATGAAAAACAAAAGGAATACTAGACAACAGTCGTGTTATTGCCTACCTCTTAACATGGTTGAGGTTATAATTGCACTACCAAGAGCCGATTTGCTGCCAATCTCCCCAAATGTGTCCAGCAGAACAAGGCACCACTAATTCTATGGGGAAAAAACTATAAATTTAGTACCGGATATTTGATTAATTTTTTATTTAAACATACGATCTTCAATTTTATTTATTTTAAAAATATATTTAGTATGTAATCTTTTATTCGAGTGCTTCAGTTTTATTATAAAGATAAATTTTATCTTTTATAAAAGGCAATTTTAATAATTTATGTTGAAGCAAATTATTCCTTTTTTTTTTTCAATCTTGGAGTTGGAGAGCTGCAAAGTATTAAAGACCCTAGTTATGACTATATCCAAAGATCTACCTGGTTGGTCGTGGTCGGACGACATTGTATTCCTTGCCTCCTAGGTAGTCATGGTAATCGTTTCGAACCGTCGGTTTCGGTTTAAGAACCAAACCTTTTATTGACGGTTTCGGTTTCGTTTGAAACCATAAAACCGACGGTTTAATGGCTTTTTTATTAAATGAAAAAATAAAAAAATCGAACATTTTTTCTCAACATTAACATTGAAACGAAAAAACTTCTTTTTTGCATAATGTATAAATATTCTAATATTTTTTACATTATAATGTATTTCACACAATAAATCAAAGGAAAACAAATAAATAAATAAAGAAGGGCTTGAACTTAATTTTTGTAAACATTACAAAAATTAAGCTTCCTAAGTGTCCTCTTGGGGTTTAGAGGAATCAAAGCTTACGTAGTTCTCTTTTATATTTCAAATTACCCATTTACAAATTATATCTATGTTCTATATAGTTGCGCCTAATTACTTTCTTGATCGGAAGTTTCGACTTCATAAGTTTCCGTTGTTGTGCCGTCGCTTGTTAGATCCATACTTTCTTCATTGAAATCATATTGTTTTTATTCTTGTGTTCTCTTGTCGGCTCTTATCCAATCATCCACGCATACTTGAGCTTCAAGTGACTCGGGAGCCAATTGTGATCGCCTATCATCCAAAATATTACCTTCGGAGCTAAATGCTCTTTCAACGACCGTTGTTGAAGCCGGCACGGCAAGTATTGTCTAGCTATTATGGACGGGACTAGAAAGGTGCTCGCATGTCTTTTCCACCAATCAATTACTTCAAAATCTACACTCGCATTGTTATCATCAAACTCAAATACGGTTGTTAGATAAATATCAAGTTCAAAAGTGGAGCCCGATAATCCTTTTGGCCTTTTTGTCCTTTCCATGGCCATAAGATAACCGACTCTAACACGTTGGCTACTTGATGATGATTGTGGCACAGGTGGTAAAGAGGAACTAGCATGTTGATCACCTACGAGTTAAAGACATTTCAATATATAAATCTCTAACTCTGTTTTATAATAGAAGCGGTTTCTATTTCTACATTTTTATCAAATAATTGCAAATACTCATAGTAAGTATTCAAAACAGCAGAAAGACCTTCCATTTTAAATCTAGGATCAAAGACTAAAGCAACAAGATAAATAGGTGGAATTGCTTCATAATAACTTAACCATTTTTGCTTCATTATTTGAATAGCAAGCATGTAAAGTTGGCATATCTTGTTCTACATAATTAAAAGCTTCAATCATAAATAAATGTGAAGTTGGTTGATAAACGAGCACTAAAAGTGTATGTTGCATTGTTAAAAACACTTAAAAGTTCCAAAAGTGGTTCGCAAATATCAAAATCATTTTGACAAATAAAAACAGAATCAATATTTTCCGAAAAAAATGAGCATAATAAATCTCGATATTCAAATGACTGCCTAAGTAAGTCATAAGTTGAATTCCAACGAGTTGGAACATCTTTTGAAAATCGTTTTGGTTTTTTGTTTCTTTCTTTGCAAAACTTTCCCCATGATTTCATCTTTTGGGGATGCGTCCATAAATATTTAGCAAGAGCTTTAATTAGCCTAACAATATCTTTAAGATATTCCAAACCAAATTGCACACATAAATTTAAAACATGACATACACATCTAATATGGAAAAACTTACCTCCAAGATGGGGTTGACAAAGTTCTCTTAAAGACTCTATCGAAGCATCATTAGAACTAGCATTATCAAAAGAAATTGAAAATATTCTTAAAGGTAAAACATATTCATCTAAAATCCTTTTTAGTATTTTATATATATTTTGAGCGGTATATTTATCGTCAAAAACTCTATATGCAAGAAGACGTTTTTGCATGTGTCATTCATTATCAATCCAATGACAAGTTACACCAATAAAAGAGTGAGTTTGCCATTGATCGGACCATATATCAAGCACATATAAAAACACGACCATTTAAATTTGCAAATAATACGAGTTAATTCTTTTTTTTTTATCTCTATATAATTTTATAACTGTTTTTTTTAAAGAATGTCTTTCAACTTATTTGAAAGCGGGATTCAAAGCGTTAGAACAATAATCACTAAAACTCATTTTTTGACCAAAACTAAAAAATAAATTATCAACACATATCATTTTAGTCATTTCTTCTTTATTTTTTTTATCGATATACTCGAAATAAAAAGGAAGATTGAGAAGCAAACCCGGATATTTGTGTCCGATGTCTATCATTACTAAGTACGGATGGATGTTTTTTCTCCAAGTGGGTTTTGAATGTTCCATAACCACATCCTTGTTTGAATGTGTATTGCTTGTTGCGGTAGTTGCAAATCACGGTAAAAATGCCTTTTTCTAACGTAACTTTTGAGAAATGAATTTTAAAGATGTCGGATGATCTATGTGTAAAATTTGATTATTATTGTTGCTCCCCTACTCGATTTTGATTGGCAATATTACTTTGTTATGATGACATATGTGAACTTGAACTTGTCATTTTTTGTAGTATAAAACAATAGAAATGTAAAAATTTAAGAAATATTTGGAGTATAAAAAATATTATAGGATAGTATTGAGAATTCTAGACTTACGAGTTTAAGAGATTGAGAGAGAATGAGAGATTGAGTTGTGAGAAAAATTAAAAAAATTGAGAGTGAGAAGGTATTTATAGAAAAGAAAAAAAAGAAAAAGAAAACGGTCACAAATGTTTGTGACCGTTTTATAAACGGTCACTTTTTTATGACCGTTGAGTTGTGACAAACGGTCACAAAAATGTGACCATTTGTCACATACTCAATATATATATATATATTAAGTCTAAAAATTAAAAATTATTAGGCTTAATTTTTTTTTTCATTTTTCAGTCCAATAGCTACTGTCCATCCCATATAAAATTGGTTTTTTATTTAAATTTTTTTGTTTTTTTCTACTCAATCCAAATTTATTAGGAAAAATGTGAAACCGCCGGTTCTACGGTTAACCATCGGTTTAAAATCGTCGGCTCCGATTTCATGATACCTTAAATCATAATCAACTCATAAGTAACCGGTTACGGTTCGATTTGATCAAGGTTACGATTTTAATAATTTTGGTTCGTTTTTTTAACGATTTGGTTTCAGTTCGATTTACCGTTCGAACCGAACCGTTATCATGTCTGCTCCTAGGATCCAGTTTCAACCTTTTGTCTTTTAGTGTATCCTGGTCACCAAACGTCAACTTTATCGGATCATGTAAAGAGTACGCAGTCAGCCTTGTCTTCTCATCATACATGTCATCCACCTTTTCGAATAAAAAAGAGACATGCTGGTACCTATAAGGTTGCTGCCATGTGACTTGCTCACAATGTAAACTATGTTGCGCGGATAATTATACAAAAATTTTCTCTGTTTGAAAAAAAAAAAAAAAAAACAACGGACATACAGAGTGAGGAGTTTGCCCTTTATCTTATAAAAAAACTCTGATACAACTGCAACTTAATTTACGTAAGCTTTCTTTGAATAAACATATGCATCCAGCTCGGTATCTTCTCAAGTTCTAGCTCTTGATTCATTACGGGGGAAAAAAAAGTTCTAGCTTTTGGTCTTGTTGTTTTTAATGATCTCAGGAAAGTTATTTTCTAGCCCGCTAGTTCTTTTTTTTACTAATCATGATTAAAGGAGAAATTATTACACAAATTTAGTCTATCATCTAAGATTATGAATCAAATCAATAAAAGTATTATGTATTAATAAATTTATCGGCATCATTTTATGATGAATTCATTATTAAATATTTAATTTTATAATTATAAACGTTCAATAATATGAGAAAATTTACCTTCTAAATATAATTTATTAAATAGATGATTTGAATAAATTTAATGAAATGTAATAGTTTTATTGATTTGGGTCATAATCTGAACTGGTGGCTCGAAGTTATGTAATAATTTTTCAAATTAAAGGTTGATGGTTTATAATTCTGCGAGTTTTTATATATTTTGCATTTCTATGCTTATCCTTTTCACTGTCTTTCGGTCTAAAAATAAATAAATAAACAATAATAATAATAATGTCTTTCGGTCTATATCGAATATAATGAGCCCATTTTATCTTGAAAAGGTGAACAGGTTCGAGGATTTAAGTTAGTACTAACAACAATATATATATA